AATCACACCCCTTCCGCCCCCAATGATACGAACCAACGTGTATTTGTGATGACCAGCGTGTGAGGAACATCGGGTCATGGATCTTACAAAGATGACTTTTTCATTCCCCGACTGGATCTTTTCAAAATGACTCCGCATGGATTTGTTCTCTTTTGGGTTAGAACAAAACAGTTTCTGTTTCATAGTATCCTGGGTCCTTTAGAGTGATTACTGTTCTATTTCTATTATCTTCACTATTGTCGTGGTGGGTTAAGTGGTAAGAATTGTGCTTGTACTCGAGGATGGGGACTCGTCACAATCCAGGACACTCTACATCCAGCGACACTGGGCCATATCACTGTGTCTCTAACCACCGGTTACTATGATCTCGGTGTCCCCATCCAAGGAGCCTAACGCGACTTTTATGATCGAGTCTCTTTGATCAGGATTCTCATACGCCTCGCCAATAGGGTGGTCATTAGTTCGGATAATTCAGTACCACACACTTTCAGGTACATAACTGGTGGAATGTCGGAATCGGCAGACTTGTCAATTCGAATATCTTTGGGTTTGATGAATCGCTGTTTGGTGATTAACATTTTGTTGTGACCCACGCATAACGGTACAATCGTTCAAGTCCTTAACCGTGAACCCAATGGACTCGCGATAACAACTCGAAACCGGAACGATCCAGACGGCCGGGTGAGAACTTCACGGATACGCCCAGATTGTGATAATTAGCGCAATTTCCGAGAGAACCGGAACACGCCCGGCAAAACCAGTGTGATCCCATCCGGGAAGAATACTCAAGGCAGGCCTTCAGACGAGCTTGTGTATTTAACTCTACCTAAAAGATCATGGTAGTGAGCAACTCATCTATTTTTTTACATTTTCGAGGATGGCCAACAGTGACCTTAAAAATTTACTTGAAAGTTCAAATTTCTGGGGAAATGCACCAAGCATGGCGATCGGTGGCGTAGATTGAGGTGTTCCAACCGCGAAAAATCGGAAAATCAAATTTCAAAAAAATAAGTAGAAAATAGGAAAAGTGAAGATAAAATTATTTATTCCGGGGGAGGGGTGACTTTTCCCTGATTAGACTTTCACGAGTTGAAATGAGAGTCCGATCGGTCCGGATGAGTTATGCTGTGAATCGAAAAACGGACAAACATGTGTTTGACAATAGTAGTTGTTGTGCGGTGGTGGCCTGGCGGTAACGTAACTAAATTACCACCTCGGGGGACGTGTGTTCGAACCCCACCACTACCCAATGACAGCCCTTTGATTGGCCGCTTCCCCCTTCCTGAAAATTGTGTGGTTGTGTATTCAATAAAAGGGACTAAAATTAAATAGAAAGAAGAAGTTTTGGTATAGCCATGATCTGATGGTTTTTCATAGGTTTTCCTCTCAGTTGCCGACTGTTTTAGTTCCCAGGCACGTTGTCTTTGTGTAAAGCACTCCGATTGCGTTCCTCGTGTTGACCATCATACTTCTCATATTCTTGGGGTTTCTTTCTCATGTATTTATGACTTAAATGTCATGGTAAAACGCCTCGCCAAAGCCGCTACTACATCCTAATACGGTTCGTCGCTAGAGCCTCCAAGTTACTTATCGATTTCAATGCGCACTAGACCTACGTTATCCCCTTTACACAGGAGCATATAGGAGCTGAAAAGAAAACTAGGGTTGTATCAACACCGTGAAGCTACCATGCCAGTGAGTGTTATCGAACATTGCATACCACTAACAGCAAACAAAATCATATGGGCCCATTTTCGGTGGACACCTCTGATTTCAGACTGCGTTCCAAACAAATCACCGTACCATTATCATTATAACGAAGAAAAACTTCCGAGATTAGCTCGTGAGCGCCGTATTGTGAGGTTGTCCAGACTAAAGCAAATGAAGTTTTAGATGGTGAATGTTTGTTTGTTTTTCACAGGCACCAAGCACTGTTAATGATGTTGATTGAGCGATTCGCACAAGGTGATAACCGTCGACCATGTAGCTCAGGGGTAAGGGTTTGACAGTCCCGACCAAAATGTTTGCGGTTCGAGTCCTAGCAGGGACACAAAATTACGCACTGTTGACGAGTCTCAAACAGAATGAGATGGCTGTCCAGTGCTCTTCGTTGGTTATCACAAACATTTCCATCGTATTCAAATGAATTTTCTTGGGAATCTTTGTCTAACCAAAGCCTGACCCGCAAGGCAACGGATCAGTATGTGAAAACCGTAATCCATTGGGGGCCGGTGTTTAGTGCTTCGGATCATACACCCGTTTTAACGGGGTCAAACGATCATGGTACCCAATCGAGCGGGGGTGACCACTACCACAACCAGGAAGGCGTGACTGTGTGGTCAGTACGCATTTCCTTGGTTGGTTTGGGTTTTATTCAACTCCCCTAGGTGAACTGCCAGTGACTCACCAATTCGGTATGGCACAATGCAGCAAACTTGTCGTGATCGGTTGAACCTCATCGTGCACAGGGATCTTTGTTTATATCATTGATCCAGAAGAGTTACGGGGAGCGAGCTTTTCTGCACTGATAAATTCGACCGTATTCGAATTTAACATTGGCTTATATGGATTATTAGTATCTTACAATATTAACTTTTTCTTCCATTTACAGGTTTCGAAAAACTTTCAAGACATTTTCAAACGACTCGTTCCTGAGGGTCGAGCAGAACTGGTCATGAAGAAGGGTATCCGCGTAAGTGTTGATTTATCCCCTCCCCCTCCGTTACCACCGCTTGCAATTTTTCATACTACTATCCTACAAACTGATTAGAATGTCCTCTTGCCAATCTGCTGTATGGCTTCGAACCAAAGTACGCTTACGAAGTAAGTTAGTTAAATAGCTTCTAGTTTACACCGGACCCACTATTCACGATAATGATCACATCGCCATGTCTCTAAAACCTAATCTGTCTGGTCACAAGATCCCAACCAAGAAAATCAACGGATCAACCGAGTGCCCTGATCAAAGGTTTTACACCCTCATATCAGGCTATGATCCGATCTCCATCACTGTTCGCTAACTAACCCCGATCCCAATTTTGATAATATAATAACATTCATTCGTTGCGTTGTGCTTATTATCGGCCGTCTCATAGGGGTATTAGGAAACAATATCTAGTTGCCGTTTTATCTTCCCGAGAAATCGCTTTATCATTTTACTGTCAACAGTTGCAAGATGTGTCTAATGTGGGCTTCACTGAGTAATTTCGACCATTGATGATACCGTCCAGAAATTTAAAATGTCATTCGGGTCTTTCCCCCGGGATGGTTCCCCGGGAGTGCATTTTCTCATTTTTCTATCACACACACACACACACACATTTTGTGTGATGAACAACAGCCGGGGTGGACCCCATAATCACGAAGATCTGCCGTTCAATGATGGAAACAGGTGACCTTAGCCTCGGGGCTTGGAGTGGTGAACCATAAATAAGGTTCCGCCAGATAAGGCATGATTTTGAACCGGCCGACAGTAAAGCTGCCTACCATCAATATCGGGTGGCGGTGGCGGGGCTCGGACCATAGAGTCCAAAGCACGCCGGTGATAGCGACTGGACCACTACGCCACCACCTTCCGAAAAATTGTATTATTTTGTATTCAGTAAAATGAAGTGAAATGAAATGAGAAAGAAAAGAATCCGTATTTTCCTAATCGTCAAACCAATGTGCCCGGAGACTGGGTAGTCTAATATGTTTCCGATCGTGGCCCCTTGAACCAAACGGAGTAGAATTGAGAGCTCTTAGTTCATGTCCGGGGCATCCCAAATGCACTTTAGAGTAGCCTGCCGCTTGCTGTGCTCCGTGGACAATAAGTCACACATTTAAACAGATCGGCTCACTGTGACGGTTGATGAATGAAAATGGTTAGCGAAATAGGAGTAGTAGCTACCTCACGAATTAATCAAATTTTGACTCAGTCAATGGAGGTCAGTGAAACAATCCGCGATAAGAGTGTATAGACCATTCGCTGTGCGCTAAAGCGGATTAATCACTGAGCGGAATACTTTCAAGAACGATTCCGCTGCGGGTTGTAGGTGCTGTTACTAATGGTGACGCAGTGGTTTAGTGCTTTGGACCCTATGGTTCAAGCACCGCCACTCAACTTTGGTGGTAGACAGCTGTGCTGTCATCCGGTTCAATACCACGCCTAACCTACTCGCTACTCCAAGTCCCGTGGCTTAGGTTGCCGGTTAAAATCAATGAACAGCACTTCTTCGTGACTGTGGGGCTTTCCCCATCTGCTGTTTATTACACGAAAGTGTATAATGAAAAGAATCCGACCACATGAACTTTTCCCTTCAACCCGCCGACGAATCACCTCACATCCCGGTGTTCCTGGAGAAACGATCTCACAGTAAACACAAAAACCGTCATGGAATAAATTTCATCCCAATAGACCATCACGACAAAACTGCACCATGACTTGGTGTGATATCTTGTCGGTCACCATAACCCTACAAACCATACAGGCTGCACACAGCCTCTGATCCAATCATGCCTGAAAGGTCAGTGGGTAGAGGCCAGTTCACTGGACAGCTACTGCAAGTCCAAACTGGACGGTTAGAGACGCTGAGTTTGGCAAACAGTGGCACTCGTGCATCTACTCATTGTTCTTGCAACCCCAGCCAATATGAATTCTCTATCTTTTCTTTGATTCCGTTTTCAATATTCCAATTTGCCTTCTGTTTTTTTATCGAAATGAATAGCCTTAAGACAGTAACCAAACCAGCCGCATAAAAGTATATGGTTGTAAAAATTCAAACGAAACTGAATCCCGATAGTCATAAAAGTGTTAGTTTTACTGTTTGACGCTTGAGANAAAGATTAATGTACCGTGATTTTTTGGCACACAGTCTGGATTAAGACCTGATTATATATATATATATATATATATATATATATATATAATCAGGTCTTAATCCAGACTGTGTGCCAAAAAATCACGGTACATTAATCTTTATAAAAAGAAAAACGTTCCATGATTTGTATATACGGGCTGAATACTGCCCGTTGGACGGGGTCAAATGTCCACGGTGCCCGGTTGCCGTTGACCAACAATGACTCAGTAATTAATCATTCGCT